CCATGGCACAGAAACGCTACCGATTCCACTTTGTATTGGAGAAACGCGTGTCGGTGCATACGATCGCATCCAATGTGTACGCGTGCGAAAGGACGAAACAAAAGAGGACGCTTTTTCTTTAGAACTTTTAGCTTATCGATGGGAAAAAATCTTGTGAAAATGGGATATTACATTACGTGGAATATTACGAGGGTGGATAACCGATGTTTGCACAATTGATAATGTTGATGTTTCAAGTTTTTGTTAAAGAGGTTGTGTTAGCTTGAGAACATTCTTTGTTTAATTTCAAGAGAAATCGACTTTATCGGTGATAAGAATGGAAGTTTATTGACGAGAGAATAGAGATAAGTGTTTTAAGGAGATCATTACCCGAGAAGGCATAGAATTCGTGGAACATATGTCGAATAGGTTTTTTGCCGTGTCCGTAACGCAACCGTCAGAGAGAGTCCTGTGCAAGTGGCCGACTATACGGATTTCACGAGCGCACGATGCTTTCTAAAAACAAAGTTCCGCCAATGGGATCAATGTTCTGTATAATTAAGAAAAAGAAAAATAATTCTTACACAAATATTATAGAAATTTTGTTAACATCTTTAACGTGAAGGATTATTGTTTCCTCATAATCGCACAATTATACAGAACACTACTTGCTGTGCAAATGGCAAGGTGCGAAAGATAACGGCGGCTATTTATCGTTTGCAAATTTGTCGTTCGCCGTTTCAAAACGTATTACATCGAAGTGTACGAACATGGCAAAAATTCTAAAACCTGCCGAACCATGAAGAATACACATAAAAGTTGCAAAAGAAAAATGAAAGTGAGATCGATGTAGAACAATATCGCGTAATATCTATTCTTTTATATATCCAAATTTTTGCAACTATAATTCATGTATGTGAACATTATGTAGCACACAACACGAATGTAATACATGAAATAAAGTGTACCCTGATATCGTTGCAGGTACATGCATTAACGGCATGCTTGCCTGCCTAATAATCCTCTTTCCCACGTTTGAATTAATGGACATCACGTAGAGCTATCAAACATGGTTTGCCAAAGCACAGCAACTTCCTACGTAATATATATCCATTATCATAGCAACGTTTTAATTCTATTCTATTAACTTTCACACGTATGTAGTACATGCAATCCATATATAAATGTACAAGCGACACAATCGAAGTTAATGTATGTTTAAAGATGAACACACCAGACGCAGTTTAGTAGAGTTTAGTAGACGCAGTTGAACGGCTTATCATATGCCGTTTTGCGTATCTGCGAACGCATGCACAGACATTAAATGCACGAATAAGTATTCTATAAATGTAGCCGCCTATTTAGCGCGCAGACCGCATCGCGTCCTTACAAATGCCGGATAACACTTTTTCGTCGAGGCGACCCCTCGTGAAACGTCGATTCGACGGATGCAGGTTGTTTTTAGCGAGAATGGTAGTAGTTACTTTCATGCTACGCTAATTCGTTAAAAATTCGCGGAAAATATATTTTTGTAATAAAAATTGTAAAACAATTTTTAATATGACTGTGCTGAAGCAGGATAAAAAATTTAATTGAAAACTGATTATACAGTTGGTAAAATGACTTTACATGAAGAAATACGCAAAACAGAAGTTTTAATCGAAATGAGTTGAACGTTTACACAAACTAGACTATTAAATGTTTTTATTAAAATTCCTTGGCATCCGTTATAAAATTACTCATCCGCTGCGTAACGTAGCAATGAAATTCTAATTACCAGCGACTCGGGGAACAGATACCACGCCTTAAATTTCAAAGATGCACTGGTACCGTAACGGCTATGTATACGCACGGGTCGAAACCCCGACACACCATATTTTCTATTTTGTTTTCCTTCAGGCGATTCACCTTCGTCCGAACGAATAACAAACTATCGAAACCGATCGTGTTGACTAGAGCTTAAACATACTTTCAATACATACATCGATTCGATCATGAAAAATGGTTAATATCGACTACTAGTATAAAAGTAAAAAAACCTATCATACATATTTTTAAAGGTAACCATATTTAGTGGCTCTTAACTACTTTACATTCAAACAGGATAACAGACGCTATCAAAATGTCGCTTTGATTCCGTTAACGTCACATCAATCTCAATTAACTTCCTCTCCCTTTCATCAGATTCGCTTGGATTTTACCGGTGAAACAAGAACTCAACGACATTCGCAAAACCACTCACTAATATCGCAAAGTAAAGATATTTGTAATATGGCTGTTATTCAATTAACGCGTGATTTCCACCTCATCTATACTATGTTACCCTAAACCCAATTCGGACATTACATGTTCAACCATTTCACGCAAAAATGATAGTATAACAGCAAGAAAAAAAACAAGTGAATGCACATATCTACTCACCATGCTTTAACTCGGATGAGGACCTCTCCCTCGGCAAGGGTGGGCTCAGGCTTCCTGAGAGCCTTGACACTTTTCAGTCCGCCGAAACCGTTCAGTACTATAGCCCGCATGTCCTTCGGCTCTGGCGTGGGTTTCTCCTCGCCGTTCTCCTTCGGTTTATCACCGTCGCCATTCTCTTCGACTTTCTTTTCCTCCTCTTTGCTTTCTTTCGTCTCTTCCTTCTCCTGCTTGGACGGCGCCGCTTCCTGTGGTGGCTTTTCACCCTCTGCGCTCGGGCTGGTTTCGTTCTTGTCCTCTGCCATTTTTCCTTTGACTACTTTTGCGTCTACTCAAAAGCCTAACCGCTGATCCGGTAATATGTCTTTTTGTTCTGCGCGTAACCTTCGATTAACAACGCCAACGAAAGGTTCTCTATTCGACAAAGAAAAGTGAAGAAGAGATAGAAGGAATAAAATCTCAGTAAGAGTCTTTCCTTTGCGCGTATCCTTAAACCGCAGAACGTTTGCACCCGACGAGAGCCGACGTCGTTCTGCGCAATTTTCCGGCACAGTGGCATGAACGCTCGTAGCCGGCTATGCCGGCCGGTGACGCGGCGGTGTTGCCGTTGCTTAGCAACCGCGCGCCCCTTTCGCTCGGCCAATCAGAAAGCACATTCACGTCCCACCGGTCGCCGCCACGTTAAAACTACATCGCGCATAGTACGACAGGTGCCGCGAGTCCGTGGAGCATTGGTGTGTTCACGATTAAAAAGTAGTCCCCCCTCTCTCTCACTCTCTGGTAAATTCGTATTAACCCATGCTGTTAACGCGTCTTCGACTACGATTTTCGACGATCGATCCACCCTCCGATATGCATCCTTTTAACTGTCGTCCACGCGGTGGACACAATACTCCATAGAAAACCATGAAGGGATGATAGTGTGTTTTTAGGAATCATTTTAAATAAAACGATTTTTGTAGATTGTGTCGTAAATAAGTTTAACTTCTGAACTCATACATTGAATAACGAATTGGATCTCAAAATCAGATCTGTAGTATAGTATGGTACGATTATACGTATAACACCTCATATTTGATCACGAAGTACTGCGATTATAGACTGTCAGAACACGATGTTATAAGTATGCAGAAAGGAAAAGAAAAAATGAATAAACTTGTTTCTCCTCACTGATCATAATATCGAGGTCATTACTAGGGAATATCGTATATCGTGTCCGATTGTTCGAGGTGTGTCAGTCAGTGGTGTCGTTTTTCCGGAATGATCGTATGTTGTTAATAACATTAATAACAGTACGGCTTGCTTCACACGAGACTGACGATTACGATCGATAAATGTGTAAACGAAAATGTAGCATGAAGATAGCTAAAGTCGATAAAGTCGAACACGATATGATTCGGTTACATGTATAATCGGTATTTAATGGTTACAAATGGAATTATGCAGATTGAGTGTTCTGACGTATAATGGATTGGAGATGAAACGAAAACTATTGAGACGGAGAATGTAATTGAAACGTTGGAGTAGCTGCACGTGGAAATTAATCCGACGCGACAGAAGGGCATGGAGTCTGAAGGATACGCCTTTGTATCGTGAATCATTGGCGCGGATGCGTCGAAGAAAAGTGGTTTCTTTCTCGTCGGTAGCTAATTGCGTCGTTAAGAAACAATAGAAATTGACCGATAAACGCACTTGTGTATTAACGATATTTGAAAACAAGCTTCAAGTTCTGTTCGCGAATTATCGATCGGATTTGAAATACGTTGCATTTTTCAGTAAAAATGAAATTAAAAAATCCCTATTTTATTGTGAGTATAGGAATAATGAAAATATGCATCTTTTACTTCATTGGATAGAGTTATGAAAAATTTGAAAATTAAAAATTCCTATACAATTTTGTAACTTATATGGTATATAAAACTCGAGTTTAAAATACAAATATTATTTTCACGCGAAAAAGTATGGAAATTTATTATAAAAAATGAATTATTTATGAATAAAAATTCGCATAATTTATTCAGTGATAATGAAACGGCAATACAATGCAACGTGCAATCTTAGGTACTGAAATTGCCTGTTTCGTTCGAGATCCCTTTCTCTGACTGGCAGACAGAAAAGTAGTGCCAGCAGACGACGCCCGACACCGCACGTGTATCCTTACGCCACGCACGCTATGCGTCATATCGCAGTACAGACAGGCGCATTACATCCTGCCTTTTCTTGAACACGCCTTTCGAAATGTAAACGCTTTGCCACCCTCCTTCCCTACCCCCCCATGTATTTTTTTTAATATAGCAAAATAAAAATAGCATGGCAATCATTTTTTGGGATGAGAGTAGGAGGTGTCACGTGCTCTCACTTTTGTCCTTTAATAACCAAACTTTTTTCAAATATTTGTGCATCGAGAAACATTAATTACTTCCTCTATGTTAAAATTACGATTCAAATATTGCATCCTGATGTACATATAAATTGAAAAATCTGTTATAGTGTGTTTTACTTGAATTATAAAGTTATCGATTCTTATTTCTGGTGGTATTGAACGTCTTGTAGTTCCCTTCTTTTTTTTACCTATTATTACTAAAACCTATTTTTTTCTTTTAGGTCTGTTAATATTTTTACTTTTTATTTATACAGTACAATTCCTATATATGTATGTATTTGTACATCGAAAGTACAAAAGGAGAAGTGCAATCCGTCAACTATCATGCAACTTTGAATTCCCGAAACAATTGGACCGAGTAATGAGAATCATGCACGAGTGCAATGAGGATGTGCTGATTGGGATGAATAGCTCATATTGTCGGGAGAGCCAAAAGCACCCAGAGCCTGTATACAGAGGCTCTCTGATCATTATAAAATGCCTTGTCTGATATTCTTCATTGTACCATGCTTACACCTTGTTTGCGTGTTACAAAGATGGGGGTTTAGTTTCATTTACCATATGAGACTGTAAAGGCAAGCACTAATCGTGCGAATAATCTAATTACTCGCAAATTCAAAATATTTAAAGAAATTAAATTGAAAAAAAATAATAATGAATAAATTTATATTTTAATCATTATTTTTGTACATTTTTAATAAATTAAGTAGAGGTTAATCAATTTTTTTCGTTATTGGCAATATACAAAGACCTTTAATCTTAAACGTTTTCCGATAACAATGAAAGTAGGTTTTTATCTCTAATTGCTGTATTTCATGTAAGATTGATTAAATTTATTGTCACGTACATATTTTTTTTATAAATTTCGTATTAATAGATGTGGAATAGTATAAACATAAAGTTATACATTAGAAAAGAAAAGTACACTTCATCGTAGGTATCGTACATACGTGTAGTTTTTGATAAAGATCTTAAAAAAATTATCAAATCGCCATATCATTAAATTGTCGCGATTTTAAATAATTTGCGAGATAAAAACTATTCAAAACACCCTAGTACGGTACGAATATTATTTAACTAACACTTAATCATCATCTTTATCAAAAATTGTGATATACAGCACCTACATACATACATAAGTAGTGTTATCGTTTAAGTATTAGGTTATGTTACTCTCATTAGGTGAAACACTGTTTATTGATACAATATAATTCTGAAAAGATAATGTACTGATAGAACGCAATTGTCGCGTATTTTAAAAATGATATCTATGTAATATCACATGATCAAATGTGTATTTTGTATTTTACGAAAAAGGAACTCCACGAATTCTCCAGCACATATGTATATCAGCTGATTCTCCCACCCTTCCATTTTTCAATAGAGGCAGTATACTCGAATCGACAACGACTAGATAATAGAATTGGCTACGTCGTCGTACTGTTTTTCCACATTGTCAACAAAGAAATCATCGTAAACGAACAGCCAAAGCATCGTAAAAGCTAATGGCAGATCATGAAGGTGTCAGATCGAAAAGGTGCGTATCTAACAAATTTAAACAAATTTTTCGTTATAACTGTCACTTCTGGTCTCTTTTTTTTAATTCACGCTTTTCATTGATTTTATGTCGATTTTGGCGACTTTAAACAACATCGACGGTTTGCCACACTTTTCCGCACATTACGTCATTCTGATTTACGATCTTCCGTGATCAAGATTTAAATGAAAAAATTTCAACGTTTTAATGTTACGATAAAAATTTTCATTATGATTAATAGATTTGTATTATAGATACAGTAACATGTAAAAGTATTTCGATACAATACGTACAAGTGTAAAGAAAAATGATTGTTGAAGTCAAAGAATTAACTATGTCACGTTGGATTGCATTTCAAGGTCACGTGCTAAACAATTTTAGTACGACGAATCGTAACCACAGAAATATGTAGTTAATTCTACTTCCGGTTTATTTTACGTACAAAATACGTAGGTAATTTTTTTCTTAATATGCACATTAAAAATGTTCAAAATTTATCGTATGTGTATTTCATTGTTATCATGCTTGTCAGGATTATTATATAACGTGAGACAATTTTTCAAGTTCAGTGTCATTTAAGTCATAACAACATCACATTTGTAAAACTACATTGTAACAGTACCACAGAAAAAAAAAAAAACAGTAGAAAGATACAGATCAATGGTATGTACCACATAAAGTAAACACTTTTTATAATTACATATGCAATCAGTAATTAAATTAAATTTCATATTAAGAACTGTTATAAGAATGTAATTTTATAATTATACAAAGCATGATGTAATGTTGTACAATTTATAAAAGATTGAGCTTTTTATTATCAGTTCTGATAACTTTATTGAAAGTTAATTTTATTCGTTTATTAGCTGGTTTTGGGAATGGTTTAGCTGGTCTGGCTCATCTTCAACTATGTTACGTGCTGCTGAGAAGAAAATTCTTTCATGTAAGTTATTTGCTGTGAAGAAAATTTTATGATGTTGCTTTGTGGATTTTGATGTTTGTAAGGTAAAGTAAATTTATTTTCAATTTCGGGGGTAAGTTGTATGTTTAATGATATTTTGCTTGGTTTAAATATGTAATTTTAAATGTAGTATTATTAGCCAAATCATTTTACAAATGTTGTAGGTATGAGAACTGCATATCGAGGGTGGTATGTGGATATAGGGCCAGTTGTAGGAACTTCAGATAAAATATGGACTATTTCCTTGAATCAGGATTCACCAAAGACACCAATTGTTCTATTACATGGATTAGGAGCAGGAGTAGCATTATGGTGTTTAAACCTTGACGCTTTGGCCTCTCAGAGGCCGGTATATGCCATTGATATATTAGGTAAATATAAAAACATATAGTTTTATTCAGTCATGCATTTTATGTACTGAAATCTTGGAAAATCTTGCAATGAAGTAACATACTATAGGTTGTTTAGAGATATGCTTTGTTCTTGAGTACAATTATCATGTATGACTCATAGATGAATAAGATTGAACTTTGGAGTTATATATAATTTATGAAATAAGTGATGTTGCATATTCTTAAATATCTATTTCATTATCACTGTATTCATTATTTTAAATTTATATCTTCTTTATTATATAATAAAAATATATTTTAATTTTTTTTTTATAGACAGTATTGTATCTTACATATAATCTGTTAGTTCTATTTTGTGTTTTATTGAGAGTATTTAATTCTTTCTATTTAGGTTTTGGTAGAAGCAGTCGCCCCATTTTTAGTAGTCAAGCACAAGAAGCTGAAAACCAGCTAGTTCGTTCCATTGAAGAATGGAGGAGAGAAATGCACTTGGAGAAATTTGTACTTCTGGGTCATTCAATGGGTGGCTTTCTTGCTGCATCATACAGTATGCAACATCCTGAAAGGATTAAGCACCTTATTCTTGCGGATCCTTGGGGTTTTCCAGAAAGACCTATAGAACGAATTTCAAGGGCACCTATGTGGGTGAAAGTTATAGTGTACATAATGGAACCATTAAACCCCTTATGGCCAGTCAGAGCAGCTGGTCCATTTGGTTAGTTTTTTCTCTAGTACAATTTTCTTGTCTTGAAATTTTCGGACTAATGAGTGTTGTATTATTAGAAATATTGTTTGTTTTAGGACAGTGGTTAATTGAAAAAACAAGGCCAGATATAGTAAAGAAATTTACACCTGTATTAAAAAACGACACTGCAGTGATTTCACAGTATTTACATCAATGCAATACACAAACACCGTCGTGAGTATTTTAAATTGGTAAATTTGAAATTAAAAAATTTAATTTTCATATGTTTAATAAAAAGGGGCGAGAGTGCATTTCACGCGATGATGCAACACTTTGGCTGGGCCAAAAATCCTATCGTTAAAAGGATGGATAAGCTGAGTCCAGAAATTCCTATAACTCTTTTGTATGGTAGTCGATCATGGGTCGACAATTCGAGTTGGGAAACACTTAAACACGCCAGATCATCGTCTTATATTAATGTTCAGGTAAAAATTAAAAGAAGAAAATACAATAGAAAGTAAGATATTGATATTATAAATTTTTAATTATTTTAATTTTGTATTTTCATTTATTCTAGGCGATAACAGGAGCAGGACATCATGTTTATGCGGATAAAAGTGAAACTTTCAATAAACATGTATTAGAAGCATGCAATCTAAGTGATTCGATACCCCATTTAACACAGTCAAACGTTCATTCGAATCTTAAAGCCATAAATGACCAACAAATTTCACTTATTTTAGCAAATGAAGAGGACGACTCAAAGACTGTGCAAGAACAAGAATTAAATACGTCACAAACACGATCTAGTTGAAATATAGGATAACATTTTATTCTTAAATTGTATTTCTTGACATGAATGTGCACAGTGCAATGAACTGCGTGAATTGTGTGATTTAGACTAGCCATATGTATTGCAAGATACCAAACAATCACATGTTGATTATTATTATTGTACAATTTAATTTCTAATTTATGTTGCGCTTTGTTATTTTGATAATTTATAATTCCTTGAATTGTTTCAAGGATAACAGTACTCACTCTTTAATATAAGTTCATTAACCTTCAAATGTAAGAATGTTGATGTCGATTATTTGTGTAAATTTTAATTTCTTTCTAAGATTGTAAGTACAAATATTGTAATATAAATTTCGGGAGGGAATGAGAGCACAATTTATGGAAGCATTTTAAAACAAATACTTATGGTAGTTCGCAGACGGAACGTACAAAATCAAAAACTATAATAAAATCAAATTCAATCAATGGGATCAATGATTTTGATAAATATACCACCACATATTACGTTTTAAATTTAGTGGAGGGAAATTGAATTGTACCTTATGTACAAATGTAATATAAAATAAAATTAACTGTGAATATTAGTTTTCCCTGAATGTATAAAAACTTTGTTATACAAACTGGTTTAATTATATATTTAATATTTAATGTAATCTTTTAAACTCTTTATCAATGTATTCATCAAAATCTTCATCATCATTAATTTCAACATCATCATCATCATCGTAATCATCACCATCATCCTGCTTTTCATAATCATCAACAAAATTGTCTGTTCTAAAATATTCCATTTTATGTTTTCGTTCCTTTCGTTTTTGACTTAAGAATTTGGCAAAAAGTACTTGCTGTTCCTTATCAGTTAAATAGTTTGGAACATTTTCTACATTTTGTTCAGAAGGAGAAATTGAATTTGATTGTATATTTATTGTCTGTCTTTTGTGAGCTTTCTGTGATTTCTTTAATGAAGCTTTAATCTATAATAAAGAAATAAAATTATTAAATAACATTTACTGATTTTGATGGCTATTTTATGTATGTAAATGATGTACCTTTGTCATAATTCGGTAATGGTCTATTCCAAACACATCATGTCTCATTATTGGTAAAGTTACAGTGAAGATGTCCTTTGAGTCATTTAGACTTCTCTCGTTTTGTACTTCTTCAGTATGATCTATTCTGGATGCACAAACAGTATGATGCAAGACATTTGGATATGGACTGGGTACATAGTCTTCCCCAAGGTCTAGAGTTTTCAATTTCTGCTCTACTTCTTTCAATGCACCAATACCTTTACACTTTACAAATTGTATAGGTGGTACATTGCCTATGACTCGAAGTTGAGACAACACATGCCTTAATTTAAAGGTACATTCTTTTAATAGTTCGTCTGTACCAGATTTTTCAGGACTATTATTTATCCAATATATATTGATTGTTTTAAAATCTGGTGTAACCTTTACATGAGAAATTTCTATATTTCTATTTAGAATCTCAGGGTCTATTTCCCCAGTTGACATCATATCTGTAATATGTTCCATAAATACTTTATTCAAAACATTCATTCTTCGTGTTGTATGTACAGAAAGTTGCTTCTTCGGTGCTTCATTAGAAGAAGGATTTATTATATACTCAAATGGATCTCTGCATGTTTATAATGTTTGATTAAAAAATTATCTTGTAAATATCAAATAACTATAATATAACATAAAATAAAATTTATGAAATGAACAAATGTATTTATAATAGATATATCTATTAGTAAAAATATACCTTGATATTTGTTTTAAGCTAGACAGTTGTGTATTTTGCACTCTAAGGAGAAAATACATTTTTGGTGGTGCATTAGTTTCTCTTAATATAACAATACTTTATTGAAAGCACTAATTTGCAAATTATTTGATATATATAAAATAAAAAGGTATTTTTCTTATGAAAATAACATTAAGGTATTTTGGTTACAATAATTTTCTTATCGACAAATTCTGTTTGTATAGAACGTTTTTCCAAGTCTTGTTAGGTTATGTCTTTCAGTAATGCATTCTCGTGAGCATTACAATTTATTAGCTGCAATAAACAATAAGTTGGCATTTTTAGTTGTTTCAATATAACAATAGTTTCTACTTTTCTATTGTTTTCAAGTTATTATCAAAATATATTCTAATTCGTTTAAGTTCAATTGCTCTAGACAAGTCGTACAATTTTCAAGTTTCCCAACCTGCAAAATTTTCAAATGTAAATCCGCTCTGTGATATTACTTTTAATTACCATTAACAAATGATAATGGTAATAAAGTAAAACTGCATAAGTGAGCAGTAAATATGCAAGATCTATTACGTATACAATATTGTTCAAGATACTTATTTTCAATTACGTTAGAACAGGTGTAACATATAAAATTTCCGGTTTTTATTTTTTCTAATTTACTTTCGAATTACAATACTATGTACACATAAACTATTTAATAATTATTATATGCCAATAAAATTCTTTACACTTTCGTTTTATCTAAATGAAGTCGTTAGAGGAACTGCCATAATTGTGCAACGAGAAATAAAATCTCTTCCTCATCGAATCATTGTTCTAGCTCGAAAACTTTGCAAATACATTATTTGTGTTGGAAGCATTTTGTTAACAGCGATAGTAAAAAATTGATTTTACAATCACGTTATGACTTCGGTTCGAGGAAATTGATTTCTTTTTTCTTTCTTATTTGCAAATTTTGTTATAAAATTGTTCCACATTTATGCAAAATTTCTCTGAGAGACCACAGCTCTTTTTCCAATCCTAAGTCATTCGAATGTCACTCTAATCTTAATAATAATAACATTTGTAATTTATATGTATTGTTTGGTAATAAAAAGACAGATTAATGAGATCAAAAGTCAAATTTGAAAAACGCTTACATCTAATATGCACGCCATTATACGTGACCGGAAGTCGATGATCTCAGTTCGCGAAACGAATGAAATCTCGAGAAACGCGAATAACTTATTACGTTCAAAGATCAAAGAATATATATCAAACGATCGAACGTTGAATTTTTTTTAGACTCAAACTTACGCCTAATAAATTTAATTAAATATCACCCAAATCGTATTTGCATGCTTCGAGCACTCACTGCCTTTCCAGCATGCTTATATCTACTGGTAAAGTAAAGTTCTTTTACCATCTATGGCCGTAACTCTTACAAATTCATCATACATTATATATAAGTTATATATAACTTCAGAGAGAATACATAGCTCGATCTAAATACCATTGATCAGTGATATCAATAAAAGTCAGAATCATTTCCAGTGAAACACGAAGATCAAACAATTCATTTTAAAGTAATTCATTTATAATCCTGTAATATTTTTCGTGTTTCAAAACTTAAAGCAACTTTTACAGTTTTGATATTCTCTGTCAGTTTGAGATATTAAAAGATTCTTTCCTTTTACTGTGTAATAAAGAAATACTTGCATAACGTAAATAGAATATGTTATAAAATATTTAAAATTAAACTATATCTAAGGACGAAGTGCTAAGAAAATGCCCAAATTATTATTTCTTTTACATCTCGAAATCATTCCCTTCAAAACACTTAAAATATTCGTGCTTCGGTTTAATTGATTGAAATACACGTAAGAAAGCACTGGAAATAAAACTCTGGCTTTACTCAATATAACAATATCGTATCCTTACATACGATCAGGTATCGTACGGGCCTTTCTCTGTTTCTAACATGATCATACCTGAGAAGCGAACATTTCATTTATTTTAAGCCACACAGCCAAGAAACAAAAATTCGACTTCAAAATGGTTGTTCCTACTCGTTTGACTTTTTAATCAATTTTTTTTTATTCAACAGAAACGAAGATGCCGTCTAGAAATTTTTCCTTTTGTTACCCATATTCTTGATAATTCTATTCGACACTCAACTGAAAATCTCTTATTGATTTTGTGTACGCCGTTCGCCAATGATGTTCTCTAATTTACGTGCGACAAAGGCAGTTGTCTTTTTGATCGGAGATGTTCCCTCTGACATCTCCACGTCGGTGTCATCTGATAAAAGACGTTTGCCAACTGATCGTTTCGGGTCAACAGAAATCACCATCTTATTAATAGCCTCTAAATCCTATTACAAAAAAGAAGGGAACATGTAAATACACATATATGTTTATTTAAAAACAATTTTTATACTCGTATAAGATAAAAGTATGATTTAAATTTACCTTAGCAGGACTACGACTAAAGCAATAACTAAGTTGCGGCGCTGGGGAAGCTGAAATAGCTTTTGGATCTAATGTACGCGTCATAATACTACTGGTGACACGTCTGACAGGTGAGCTTGCAGGAGGTTTCCCCTTTGGCAGTGGACTTAACGACAGATTCATCACGCTACCGCGTGCCAGTCCTAACTTATTCGCCACCTCTTTAACCTGTGGTACGTATACTGTATTATAAAACTTGATTAAATCACCACGCGTCTCCTCTCCAAAATTTTGTGACGTTCCAGCCATATTCGTGGGCGTAGGAGGCGCCACATTCGTTTCTTTATCCGACGCATCTTTTTGCCCAGTCTCTTCGTTATTCCTTTGTGATTCACCAGACGGTGTTTTGACTATAAGTACTGATCTGTATATGTGAGACTCCGCCTGCGGCTGTAATCGATAACACCGCATAATTTCAGTAAACGAATTCTTTTCCATCTTCGCCAGTTTACATATCACGTAAATTGCACACATTAAAATTTGATCAAGATGACGATCCTTCATTAATTCTGTTCGCTCTTTGACAGAGTATTCGAAGATTGTCCATATCTTCTTCTTTAAATCTGTATCCATTATTTCTAACGATCCGCATAAATCCAACATGCGAACGCTAGCCAGATTGTAAAATTTTCTGAAGAACAGTGCGACAGAACCTGTTCGTTTTGGTTTCGCTGGTTCCCTGTTCATTGTTAGCGTTTGCATAGGAGTACTCGCGGTTTGTACGTTGGAAGATCTTGGAACTGTAATTTGTTCAGGTAGCAAAAGTATTCTCGAATTACCATCGATGGTTAAAACTTTCGATGGTAACACGCTTTGACCTGCCACTCGTAATATACTTTGTCCACCGATTCTGGTATCAGAGAACAAACGTTTCTTGGCAACACCGGATGCTGCAACGGGAGACTGAAATCTTTCCGAGGCAGAGGAAATAGGACTTTGTTGCACATCGTGGTGATTTCCACGGTCCAAAGCAATTCTTCTCAACACCGGTTGTCCTGGAATATTTGGGTCAACAGTCTCCAGCATTCCAGGCAAAGACACCTCTTCACAACTAGGGACACCTTCTGGTGTGGACTGAATGGCTCCCCACAAAGGACTATCACTTCGCCATGCAAGTGACTCTAGAATCTTTTCCTCTATTTGATTTAGGTGCTTCACAACATCACGGGACAATTGATCCTCCGCTCTGACAATAATTTCTATCACTTTATAGAAATAATAGGCATCCAAGTTTAGGGCTTTGAGAATCCAAGGGAAAATTTTGTCGTTACTTTTATATGAGTAAATGACAATCTCTAAGCAGCAAGCAAATAAACACTGAATAAATATTTCCTTCGTAAGAAGATTCTACAACATACAAAGATATATATTATTCATCGATCGATTGGTTTTATTTAATTTTTTTTTTAATTAATCGACATACCGTTACATCGTAATTCGGTTTCTTGCGTTTCTCATCGTTTAAAATCATTTCTAAGAGTCTGTAGAAGAGGGTTTTACCTAAATAAAGTCTTTTCTTTCCAAAGTCTGACGTACTTTCGTTTGCGTTTGTACTTTTGTTATAATTGGCACAAAACTGTTCACCTAGTTCTTTAACTTTCGTCTCGACAAGTGTCTTTACATCCTGAGAACAACTATTCAGAATTTGCAACAAGTTTTCACTTGGTGAAGTTTGACCTGCCAACATAGCTTGAAGTCGAATAACACTTTGAGTTGCAGCAGACACTGGTGTAACATTAGTAATGTCTTTTGGTCTGAGGTAACTACGTCCAGTTAGTGGTGTAGGTGGAGCTAAATGTTGTATTTGCTGTGAAAATTTCCATAATATAAATATAGTTCAAATGATAGAATTATTTCAGATGATACAAACATATAATTATTTCAATACTTACTCCACTATATTGTTCTCTTTTCATTTGAAATTGTTCTTGAAGATCACCAATATTCATCATCTGTGTAGGAGAACCAATATTATTACTAGCATCATGTCCTGAAACAAAGTGAAATTACATAATATCTGTGAATACTTACTGATATTTTGCTTTTAAGATAAGATAATATTTACATCAAAGTATATATTATTCATGCCAAAACAATATTATCTACCACTAAAGTTATTATTAGTTTTTACAGCAAAGTTAAGCTTGCTACATATTAGAAACCTACCTTTCATAGAAATAGCTTTAGATAATTTAGCATGACAACTTAGATCTCCTCCAACAATTTCCAAGCTTGATATTCCATTTAATCTGATTCTCCTCCAATCAGCTACACCATAGCCAAGGCAAAGCAGACACAAATTGATTAACAGCAAGAAATGAAAATTATTGAAAGACAAAATGAAGATTATCAGTCATTCTGTCCATTTTTAAAAAAATGCAAATCAAAAAACATAAGCAGATCTAGAAAATAACCTTGAAAATTCTATGTAGATAATTACATACAAGCAGTAAAATGTGCTATTTTTAAATATCCTACAAATAATAATATAAACCTATTATTTTATTTGTATTATAATTTCATATGTACATTATAATTTTGTCATAAATTCTACGAAATTATTTACAAAATATTAAAATCTATAGCTTGAACCTGATTTAGGTTTATCAAAGCAAAAGAAAGCATACAGGCATATAACTAGCAGCATTATTGCACTTTATGTACAAGCATTATTTTATTGCTTATAAGCAAATTTAAAAAAATAGTTACCTAAGAAAATTCTTTCATCAAAGTCTCCAACACTCAGTACATGTTGTTCATAGACTCTATTGATAGCTTTATTATTGCCATCAAAATTTAAAGCTTCTAAAATACCAGAGAAATTTGACTGATCACCACGTAGAACTCTTTCATTGAATAATTTATTAATGTGATTCTTTAGATAATATTCCTTAATGACTTTAGCTTCAACTGCAATAGCTTCATGGCGTTCACACAATAAGCTAACTATACAATTTGCTGTCTGAGGTGGGGTATAATTTTCATCATTGAAGTTTGATGGTAGACCTACCAAAGAATACATAAATGAAAGATATTACAAGATATTATGAAATGGTATTCTTTCTTTTGCTGAAATATATAATCATCATATATTTACCAGGAAAATGAGGATTTAAAAGGTCTTTTCTGTTGGCTAACAGGGCATTGCTATATATAAGGTCACAGCAAACCAAGAGAAGATGATAAGAATTAACCAGATCATCAGAGATATCTGGAAATGCTCCTTTTATGCAAATAAATAATGTCCAACAAAATTCAAATACCCTTGCAGGAGTACAAGGCATTGCTTTGTGTCGTCTAGATCTTGGTGGACGTGAAATATCATCTATTGGATCTTTGAATATGTCAGTAAAGATTGGCTGATACTTTTTAAATATAACCATGGAAACAGCAAAGTTCCCTTCAAGCTTTTCAATCTTTGAGCGGAAATCTTGTGGCATGTTGGCCATGTCAGCCCAAAACTTACTTTTGGTAAAAAATTGTATCAGTGGAAGGTTGCACAATTGTAATAAACGTGTCAGTGACACACAATTTCCTTCTACATTAGTACCAGTTTTTCCAACAGTAGGTATAGAAGACTTACGGCAAGCTACATATAATGCACATCCTATCCAATGTAATTGATCACCCTAAAAAATAGATAGAAATTCTTATCTATGTATAATATACACATATATGTAAGCATATTATTTTCAAAAAATTTAGATATAAATCTTACATATATATTTTTATAAGTAAAGAGAAATGAAAAATGAAATACATTGTAAAGTTTTGATGAATTAATCATGTTTTTCCATAAATTTGTTTCTCTTGAAATACAAGTAATATTCACATTTTAAAATTGATATGCGCAATTAATGTACTGCCTTATTGTTTTAAATTTGTGCGCTTTAATCAATTAACTAAAACAAACCGCGAATACAACAATGTTAAACGTTAAACAGAAAAGTAAATGAATTTGTGCGTCATAAATAAATACTAAAAACAATTCGTTTGCGATGTACAGTTAGTGGGGCTAGAAACAATACAATTCAATTTGAACTTATTAGAACGATTCGAAATAACCACAGCGATGAGTAATTCAAAAAATACCTCAAGAGTATAATTTTGTCGAATAGTCTCATAAGATTTCCAAGCTTCAGATGCAGCAGTTGCATCCATATTCAATTTCTGACACAAATCTTGATGTCTACTGTAAGTAGAATCTTCTACATCGTCCGACTGCCCCATTTTTGTCGGAAAACTCGAGGAAAACCACAAGAAAACACGATTAATTTATACTGCTATACAACTGAGGTGCGCCATACGAGAGCTCCGTGAGGGCTTGGCGGGAAACGACTCGAGTTTCGCCATATTTGCCATGTTGGCGGGAAATGTAGAATGGCAATTATAAGAAAAAAATCCTTAGGTCGATTTTGCAAGAAAATTTTATGTGTGCAATGATTATTTTATTCTGAGAAATATGTCTAGAAAAAAATGGTTGAATACATTTTGTGTTACGAACAAAATAAAAAAATTTCCATTTAAATATTTCTAGAGTATCGAATACGCATCGATAGATTTTACGATCTTCAAAACAGTGAAACTAAAATAAGCGGCAAATCTTTAGAAAAGGATTTTCATGTTTTTCATAGAGTATAATTAAGGTTTTGCTATGTGTGAATGTTATCTGATGTGTAAATAATATAATAAATAAGATTATTGTGTGTGCTAATATTTTTTTGGAAGAACTATGTAATATTTTGTTTGGATAGATTGTGTTATCCAATCAAAAATCCAATGTTCTTTCTGCGCATTTTGAAATACGGTTTTCTCATTGGTCTTGTATAGTGAAATATGTATGTGTCCATTTGCGTCACCCGCGAAGAAGGATCTTATAGAGAATATTTCTAATATACGAATATTTGTACTCTTCATATATTTTGTACTTCTTTGTTGCTTTAATTGATATCATTTGCTCATTCATTATACATTATATATATTTAATGTAATTTTTACATAAAATAATTTGGATTCTATTTTGACCTAATTTGTGTCCTCCAAATTTAATAATATATAATTATGAAATTCATGACGAAAACTGAATCATTAAATATAATGCAAAAAGCAATACGCATGAAACTAGAAAGCGCTCTATGTCGATGACGCTTTCATGGTATAAATATGTAAATACAATATGGCCGATGGAAGCGGAACATCGCGAGTTTTTCCGAATGGCATTTTGCCAATAGATTAAGAGTCAGTAAAATTTGTAAATTCGTTTGAATTTTGTGTGTATACAATTCTTCAAGCGTCATGGATTAAAAGACATCGCTTAAGTCGTCCGAGTTTCTTTGATCGCATAGAAATGTCAGGAAGGTGCTGTTACTGAAGAATGTTTATTTCTCGCGTCGGAGTAGTCGTTTTTTGAATTTTTTTGTCGCAATATGAAATAAAACGTATAAAGTCTGAGTTTGATCGAACACAGTGGTATCGTGGGTTCGCGTTCGCTTAGCAGTTCGATCAACGATGTTCGCAGTATAGGTACTGTCATGGACACAGATGTAGAACTTGCCAAAGGTGAAGGGTGTGAAACTAGTCCAGGTTGCTCTGGCTATTCTAGCATGGTGCACAGCAAAAAAGTTATCAAACATGCACTACGACAGCAGGCTAAGAGGCGTAGGAAAAATACAACTATTGCAGCTGGCAATTCTCGTACTTTACCAAGGATTGTCGTCAAACCATTACCTCCACCTCCACCAAATGATCCACCATCTCCAGTTAATAATGTACAGCACATTAACACCAGTGAGTAGGATGCATTTATTAATTTATGTTTATATAAATGAAGAGCCTGCTGCCACAATGAGAGAAGTCCTGGCAAGTTTGCCAGGATTTAGTTTGAAGCCTGGGCGTAGACGATCAACAAAAAGATTATCAGCAACTGCACAGTTGGAGGCTGGTCTTGTAGATCTTGAGTCTCCAGCAAGTATCTTAGCAAGTACAAGTTTACGTGCTCTTTTAAATAGGCATACCTTTCAAGGTTTACCACCTTTGTATCAAAGAAAACTTGCACAGCTTTTACCTGCTGTAGATAGACAGGTAATTAATAATATACTTTTACCAAGAGTTGTATATATTCTCTTCTAAAACTTTTTAAACAATTTTGGTTTTTATAAATTTTTGTAAATTTAAAAATTTAAATTGTTTTTGTTACTGATAGGATGCTGCTACATCTGGATTAAACAATGAATTCTTTGCACGAGCGTGCTTAGAATGGCGTAAACGCTTGGCAGAAGGAGAGTTTACTCCAGAAAATCAACAACGATTAAAGATGGAAGCAGAAAGAGATAAAAATAAATTAGATCCATGGAAAGTGAAACATTTTGAACCAATATGGGGAGAAAAACGCGAACCTAAACTTAGGTCGGGCCTCCACTGTATTTCGGAATCAAGATCCGGGGGAGCTGTAACTCGTTCAAGTTTAAGACTTCGTTTAGAGTCTAATGTAGATACACCTGCATCAGATACTCCTTGTCCTATTATTATATCTGAAGATAAAGTCGAAGAAGATAATTGTAAAGTTGACACTAGTATAAATAATTCAGATGAATTAAACGAAGCAACAGAAATACAAGAATTATTACCAACAGAATATAATGAAACAACCCATACATTAATTGATGAAAAGCAATTAGAATCTGTAAACATAAGTTCCGTAGAAACAATAGATACTGAAATGCATCAAGATAAACTAGAGGAAGATGATAAGGTTATTAATCTACCAGAAAAACAAGACATAATTGAGGAAAATGAAGTAGTGACACAAGTTTGCCAAGAAAATATTTCGAACACGTACGAAGAAGAAATTCACTTACCTCAAAGTGAGAAAAATCTTCAGTCAATGGAGAACCACATGCTTGAAGTCTCCGAAGAAGATACGATACTCTTACCTGAAGAGAATACTTCACCAAGATCCAGTGAACAAACAGAACAAATATCCCATACATCTAGGGAAACATCATCCCAATTATCAACAGAATGCACGTCTCAAACTTCTTTAGATCAAGTGTCTCAAATATCAAAAGAGCAAATATCTCAAATGTCGGAAGAACAAATTTATCCTATGTCTGATTGTGAGACCACAGCTATGCTCGAAACTTCACCATCGCATGAGCAAGTTCGACCAACCGAAATTGTAATGGAGGACTCTACATTAATCAGCAATAATCAGATTGAAAGAACACAGGTTTCTCATGAAAATCCAACGGATGGTGAGTCGCAAATTCCTGAAGGAATGGAGATCGACAGTGAAACGTTGCAACGTATTCATGAATTGGAGGTGAAAATTTATACTATTTATAAGGATCTGCAGCATAAAATTATCAAGTTCTGTTAAAAATGTGATGCACCTCTTTCAGGTAAGGGGAGAAATGCGTGAAGCGTATGAAGAAATTTCGGGATGTCCCGAAGAAATAATGTACCCTATTCTTGACGGAATGGAGATGGGGACGAATAGTACAGAAGAGACCGAAACGCAAGTGGTCTCGGGACAATCAGAGGCCGTTAGAGATCAACAAGATGTAAATAGTGGTAACGAAGACGAAGCTCTTCGAGAAGCAAATAATTATGTTTGTTCTGAAATGTTAGAATGTAGTTGGTCGGTAGACCCCACAGTTAATAATATGAACAATAACAATAGGGTAAGTGTACTAATACAAAATTCTCACAACTTTGTAAATATCTCTCGTAATGTATTGTCAAGAGTAATGCTTTCTTATATTGAGAAAAGTTAATTTTATTTCATGAAGACTCAAGAAGAACTTCAAGTTCCATGGCCACTAGTAGCTGCAGCTCTTGATGGTTCTGTAGCTGCTAACATTACAGTGACTACTCCGGATGACTGTAATGAGACACCTACATCAACTGACTCGACTAATCCGCCTCAACAATTTATCAATGCGGATTCTAACGTAGAGTCAGTAAACTGTATCCAATTGCCAGTCGTTCAAGGCACTCCATTTCAGTCAGAAGGTCTTGCAATTGGCACACCAGGCACAAGTTGTATAATGAAGAATTTTCAGTCACAAAGTTCACCTATCATCACCTTTCCACAATTGCAATCCATCAGATTCGTGCAAACCAGTTTTCATTCTGATCAAAACACCGCGTCAACATTGAACAACACCTCTCCAATTACTGCTCAAATCCAGAATCAACAAAACACAACCTCGCAAGTAAATATAATGAGAACGCAAGAGGAGGTCGTTCAGATAAATGCTCAAAATAACAATACACGAAATATCAGGAACAACGTGACGCAAAATCAAGTTCCAAACACCGTGACAGCCGCGATTGGCGTACAACCACAAAATCGTGCGCAAAATACTATTGTCATTCAACACCAAGCGTCGGCTCCAACGCAGCCACGACAAGTTGTAGCAACTATACAACAACAACAATACCCTGGAGCAACAGTTGCTGTATCTTCAAGATCTTCACGTTCTAATAATCAAGGCAGTCAGAGGGGTTCTAGGAATAGTAATAAGGAACAGGGAGGAGGCAGGTCACGTAGTACAACAAAAGAACCACCTGGTGCTGTTAACTTGGAACGCAGTTATCAGATATGTCAAGCGGTAACTTAACAAACTGTTTTTTATTTAAAACATAAATTCAACATAATTTTTATTAAATTAAACGAATATTGTTAAAACATTTTAGGTCATACAAAGTTCGCCGAATAGAGATCAATTGAAAGCTCATTTAAAACCACCACCTAGTTTACTTGCCAGAGGTGATGGTGCGTTTACTACGAATAAATCTGGCGGTCGTACAATCACGACCGTCAAAACTCAAAAACCATCACAAACAATACAAAATAAACAAGCTCAAAATAAAACGCAAGCAGTTATGTTGAGACACGTATTTGCAACAGCACGTCAAGCTACTTCCGCAGAGGTATGACACGTCTCTTGCAGAAGTTACACCATAATAGCTTGTATTATGTTTTTTCTGTTTCATTCTCAAGATAAAGGTGCATAATTCAAATAATTTGTTTTTATTTGAACGCTGAGTATATTTGATCAGAAAATACAAAATATTTACAAATTGACTAACAAAACATAACAGTTAAGAAATACTGCTATAATTTGTATTTATTTTATTAACTTCTATGTTGCCATGCATATATTATGCACAAAATAATTAGTCCAAAATGCATTCAAAATACGATAAAACACGAACATGCTTATTTTTGTTTATTTAACCTTACAATCTGTATTTGGAACACTCACATGATATAAAAACTCGAGCCTGCATCATGTATTATTTCATATTTTTCTGTGTGTACAGTGCTAATCTTGGTGGGTGGCTTGTGATGATCACTGTATCATACAGGTACCTAAATAAATAAATCTATTTAATTTAGTTTCGAGTTTCGCAAAGTAGTAGAAACGATATCACAATCTCCGATTTCAAAAAGAATAGATTATTAAAATAAGCAACAACTTAAAAAAATAATAAAGTATCTGAGTGATCCATTTTATGTAGGGATTCTTGTTTGAAAAAGAAAAAGCAGAAAGAACAAGGGTGAAAAAGAGGCATATCGATAAACTTACTTGGTTGTGATTGTAAATGTGAACGTCATATGTTTTTCATTACCAATAACTGTAGTAATTTGACCTCTTAC